CGGAGTCAGGTTAGAGGAGCCTCTAGGACTGACTGACAGCTGCATCACGTCACACAGCTCTGGACTATTTGCAGTGGCGTTTATTACAGGAGAAGTTGAGACCAGAAAGCATGCCAGACTTTTCACACTTTTTTATCAGTGAAAGCTTTGGAAATAATAATTTTTAATTCACAGTTATGAAATTTATTTTTCACAGAAAGCAGTAAAAGTAGCTAAAAACAAACAGAGTTTAATTCGGTGCCCTTCATGAACTCATCTTCCTCTACGGAGACGTTCACTGGAGAGAATCAAAGTTTTATACCGGATGTGAAGAGATGATCAGAACAGGACATTTTCTGCGTATCAGGATGATCCGTTGGAGCAGAGAACGGTTCCTGACTGCAGAGACCTGCAGCAGCAGCGGCGAGCTGCGCCTGTTCCGACACACTCAGTCCACAGGGAGCCGTGTAGCAAATGTTATTTATTGGAGCTGTTTTATCAGCACCACTGAGCTGCCCCACATCTTCAGCTTATTAAACTCTGTTCTGGCAGCGCGCTTCCCACCAGGAGGGCGCCGGCAGCTTCATAAAGGAAATTTCATCCATCACACCCTCCCTGATGAAATTAATATATGTCAGCGCCACTTCCTGACAATTTAATATTGGGGGGGGGGGGGTTCTCCCTGGTTGATCATGAAGTGGACTGAAACTTTGGACGTCAAACAATCCAGACTCCTGCTGGGGCGTGATCAATACATCCCATAATAAGCATCTCTCTGAGCCACAGACCGTCTGACTCTGCAGCTCTCATCAGGCCCTCTGAGGAGGAGGAGCACCAGAGAAGATAAGGACCACAGAGGCTCCAGATAGCAGCTGCTCATTTAGAGGCTCAGCTCAACATTTACTGCAGAAGCTACAAGTGCTGAAAAAAGTTCATTTTCTAAGAAAGAAGTTCAATCACTGATGCTCTTCTGCTCTGAAATCAGAAACCCTCAGAAGACTCGGCTGAGCAGTGATTAGATGAACCGACATAAAGATCTGGATCAAGGTGAGGATGCAGGAAAGGGACGGAAAACTTTAAAGTCGTAGGGAAGCAGCCGTTCCAATCGTTGCATTTCTTAATTCTCCTGAGTGGTGCACGACATTACACGAGTGAATAAAGTGAATGTGATTGATTGATTATCAATGGGGCGGGATTGTTGTGGCGGGAGGTTTGCAAGCAAGTTTGGTTGTGGCTGGTGTCTCAGAAGCATCTTGCTAACCAGTTAGCATCTCAGTGCTAGCAGGTTCCCAATGGGAAATTCCATTGGGACCAAGTAGCACTAAATTGGTG